AATTTGAATAAAAATATTTACAAAACTAAAAAATAAAATTCATAATAACATCTAAAATTTAATTTTATTATTAAATAAAAACGTATTACACGATAATAAAAATAATAATGAATTTATTATATAAAATAATGGTTCCCTATTAAAAAAAATAAACAATAATAATTGTAACACATAAAGTTAATCCAACTTATATGAGAATGTACATGTTAAAATTAAATACATAAAACAAGAATTAGACTTAAGATTATAATATTTATACATAAACATAAAGTAAAATTTTATGGAATACTAAAATTCAATTACAATTGATAATGAATAAGAAGAACAAATATAGAATAATATTAATATTTCCTACTAGAATTGCAGAAGCTCTTGCAATTCGTGAGGCATTGAGTTGGATAAATTCCCACTCATGGAGCTATATTAAATTAGAATATGATGCTGAATTTTCACTTGTTTGGAACAAATAAATTCCATAAAATTTTGTGAAATTCATTGAGAAATTTATATTTATGTGTTTGGAATAAAAAAAAATGAGATAAATTTTAATTCTAGGAATTCAATTCTATGGAATTCAATATAACTACACCAAATTTCACAAAAACAGATGAAATTTTCAAATGAATTTCACAAAACTAAGTAATTAAAATTTTTATGACAAAACTACCATTCTCCTTCTACAAAGTCAAATTTTCAATTTTTCACTTATTTAACTTATTTATTTTATCAACTTGACCAAAATCATTTAAAATTATTTTTTAGAAAATATTTTCTTATTATTCTGTTTTTTTATTTTAATATTTTTCTTCTTTTTATTTTAATATTTTTAGCATCTTTTTACTATTGAGGAGAGAGATTAAAGTTAAATATATACTTATCACCGAATTAAACACAATAATTTTATTAATATTTTTTATTTTATATATTTATTTTTAATAAAAATATGAAAATTATATAGCACAACATAAATATAATTATTTTATTAATAATTTTTTTATTTTATATATTTATTTTTAATAAATATAAAAAATTATATAGCATAATATAAATAAAATTGATATTATATTATTTTTTTTTTGTGAAATTTTACTATTTCAAAGGATATTTGAGGAACAAAAGTTATGAACTTTCAATTATGAATTTATTCCATACATGATTACGTGGAATTTAATTGATTAATATTTTTTAATTAATCATACCAAATATAAAAATGTATTTACAAATGAATTATATTAGAATTCATTTACAAATGAATTCTATATTTTGAATTCATTTATACGAAAAGAATTCATTTACATGAAATTTACATGAAACAGCGCGCATTAGCGTGAATTCTATCAATGACTCCATATGAAGGGATTTCTCTTTTTTTAGCTCTACCATTACTGATTCTAAATCTCTAATCACAAAAATAACCAGTGTCGGTATTCTTTTATTTATCAACTTGCGAATGATGTAGTTCATAATTTAGCTAAGGCAATCTTATTTTTGTCAACTGCACCAATTTTAGTTTCACCTTTTAATTGTATTGAGGCTTGATAGCTATTAGTAATGCAATTTCATATTATTTTCTAAAAAAAATAATATTGATATTGAATTGAAATTAATAGAAATTAAAATTAGTACATCAACAATCTCTCTCTATATATAAGCTCAATCAAATTTAGTTACATGACATATGAAACTTAATTATTAATTAATGATGTGAAATTTTATTATTTTTAACATTTTTATTTAATTATTTAATTTGAAGAAATCAAATTATAAGTCTTTTAATTTTCTTTATTCAATAATTAATAACCATCTAATAAATTTATTTCATTAATAAAAAAAACTCTTTGTTTTCTTTCTTTTGCAATAATCAATAGTCTAAGCCCCGTTTGTTACAGTTATTTGTTTTTAGTTTTTTATTTATTAGAAACATAAAGTTATTTTCAATGTTTGGTTACTTATTTCTCAAAACTGTTGTTTTTTTTCTAAAATTATTTTTTTCTTTTTTTAGTTCATGATGTGAAAAATTTTTCTAATTATCAAATCTCTCCCTTATTAAGCCATTAAAGATTTTAGTTAATAATAAAAAAATCTATGAATATAAAATTTAAGACAAAATAATTAAAAATATTTCACACTTTAATTTTTAAATTATAAAAATTTAACGAAGACAAAATAATCATTAAAGATTTTAGTTAATAATAAAAAAATCTATGAATATAAAATTTAAGACAAAATAATTAAAAATATTTCACACTTTAATTTTTAAATTTAAAGTTAAATTAACTGTTGATTATTATGTATGCAATCAATTGAATAAAAATATAATATCCAAGTTATAATAAATAAATAATACTAAATGACATTAGATTTATATGGATAGAGAAAATACTAATAATAAATATCTTAATAATACTAAATAGAGAAGAGATGAAAAAAAAATCGTAAAATTTTAATAGAGATAATAAAACTAATGCTTATATATTTTGGATAAATGAATGACATTAGATTTATATGGATAGATAATAATAATAGTAATAATAATAATAATAATAATAATAATACAACTTTATAAGAATAAGTCTTATAAAAAAAAAGAGAAATGTAGAATAAAAATAGAAAGCATAGTTACAGAAATCATTATTTGTGGTTTCATAAAATTTATTTTTTGTTTTAAAAAAAATTTCTAAAAAGTAAAAAAAAAAATTAAACAAGTAGAAAATTAAACAAGTTGTAAACACACAAATTTTTGCTTATTACTTTTTATAGGAAAAAGAAATGAAAAAAAAACCTTACCATTTAAAACAAACTGCGAGCCCTTTTAGTGAACGTTGAGATTTTTTTAATTAAATTAGCTAGAATACTAAGTTAAGTTCTTTTTTCAAGAATAATTTAATAACCACAGATCTAAAATTAATTATAGCATTTGTAGTAAATTTTAGATTAGATTTAGCTTATCTTCGTTTTTTTTTTTTGTAAATAAGATATTTCACTTGTTTGAAGTACTGCTGTATATGACTTGAGTACCTGACAATTCTCCTAAATTTAATCCATGACATTCTGTTATTTTGCTTTTTTATAGTTCTAATATATGTTTTTTTTTTTTTTTTAAGGAATTAATACCAAAAAAAAAAAATATGGCCTCCCATACCTTGAACCAAAAAGACCGATCTATAAGTTAACTATGTCCTAAAAGTTTTTTTTTGTCCTTTTTCACATTCATTGTGAATTGTATTTGGTTTTGAGTAAGCTTGTTTAGATTTTGGGCAAATTTAGACTAAAAATATAGAGTTTATTGTTTTTACATTTATTAGTGTAAGAACATTCTTTAATTAACTTTTATTACGTATGTTATGATGAGAAATAATTGTGGATTTCATAAAATTTATTTTTTGTTTTAAAAAAAATTTCTAAAAAGTAAAAAAAAAAATTAAACAAGTTTAAACAAACAAATTTTGCTTATTTTTTAAGGAAAAAAATGAAAAAAAAACTTAATTTAAAACAAACTGCACCTTAGTAATTTAGATTTTTTATTAATACTAGAATACTAATTAATTTTTTCAATAATTAATAACCACACTATAAATTAATATAGCATTTTAGTATTTTATAATTTACTTATCTTCTTTTTTTTTTAAATAATTTCCTTTTGAGTACTGTGTATATGATTGTACTACATCTCCTAAATTTATCATACAAATTCTTATTTTCTTTTTTATATTTAATATATTTTTAGATAATAAAAATGCATACCTTGAACAAAAGACATCTATAATTAACTATTCCTAAAGTTTTTTTTCCTTTTCCATTCATGTAATTGTATGGTTTGAGTAATTGTTTAATTTGCAAATTAGCTAAAAATATGAGTTTATTGTTTTAATTTATTAGTGTAAAATTCTTTTATAATTTTTATATGTATAGAAAAAATTGGATTAGCAGTTTTTGTTATCATAGTCAAGAATAAAAAAAAAGGCATGAATGACAAATATTATTTTTTTTCATCATATTAATTTATTTATATTTTTGAATTAAATTCGTATCAATTATTTATAAATATTAATCCACATCGTGCAAGCAAACGACTAATTAAATAATAATACAACAAGCATCGAGTGTTTGATGTATCCTTAACGGCAAAACACACGATATCAAAAGTAAAGAAATCCTTGACGGTGAAACTAAATAAAATTACATAATTATATATATTGTGGTAATGTATAATATATAACTTTTAATTAAGATATATTAAAACTTTTACAATAAGATAATAATTCCTAATAAAAAAACAAAATTTTTGTAATAATTCTTAATAATAAAAATATGATAAAACTCTACAATAGGACATGTGAAATATCTCAATTAGAGATATATTGAATTTCTCATTTTAGTAAATTTATAACTATTTTGTACACTATTAAAAATTTTTTATCTTTATTACTTTTTATTTTATCTTTTAGCCAATAAAATATAAATTTTTACATATGAAATTTTTATTTTTTCAAGCAATTAAATTAAAATCTTTAAAGATATTTTTGTTAATTTATAAATTTAACAAGCTACTTTTAACTATATCAATATTCCATTTCCTTTTCCCACTTTTATTTGTCATATATAAATTATAAATATAAAATAAAATTTACTTTCAAATTTATATTTCTTCTTTTTTTGGTATATATACTCATAAATATCTGTAATTTTTACATGAGATTAATCTCCTTTTTGAGATTTGTGTTTACCTCTATTTATAAATACTTTTGAGATCTATTTCTTTTAACTGGAGACAATATTCCATGTATTTTTAAATTTTTTTTCTTTTATTATAAATTATAGTATTATATAAAATAACATTTGTACTATCATAAAATTTTCCCTCTTACTTAAAAAAATCCAGCAATTAATTTTAATTAAGAAGACCTCTAGAAAATCTCTAATGTCACTAATTTTTCTAAACAAACAGTCCTTTATATTTTCTCTCTCTGTCACTGTCTCCAAACCTTTTCATAAAGAGAGAAACTTGTAACGTCATTTTGAAACCAGAGCCCTCCCTTCTCTACTACTTTCTCTCTATTCTCTACTCTCTACTCTCTACAGTCTCCTCTCCAAAAATCGAAAAAAATCCCGCTTACAACCGTCGAACTCTCTTGCTCTCTACACCTATATTTCAAACAAACATACCCTCTTTCTCTGTTTTTATCTTTGCCTTTGTTAGCAATGGCGGAGTTTCCTCCAAATTTGGATGACGGAGAGCTATATCTTCCGTCTGATATTTTTCTAACTGAAGTACCCTCTAAATATAACCCATATCGTCTTTCTTGCATGGAAGATCTTGCTACTCATTTCGCTTCTCTCTCTTTACTTAAAAATCAACCATCTTCAACCCCTTCAAGACCTCCTCCCAAACCACCGTTAAATTATCAGGTGATTTGAGCATTACCAGTTTATTTTCTTTTTATTTTTTTAATGTTGTCATGCATGCTTGTCTAACTGGTGTTTTTGGCTCTATTTGGTGTATTTGTTTCGTTGTAGAAGGTAAAAATGGCGGTTAGGGATTTATCGGCGAACCATTTGCCAGCTGGGCATGTTGGTTTTAATGGCGGTGGTGGTGTTGCTGGTGTTGAGATCGGTCAAAGACTTTACGGGTACGGAAACGGTTCCTTTTTAGCCCGGTCTGAACCGTTTTACGAATTTCAAGTCCAGCCACAGGTGAGTAAACAGGAACATAAATCCGGTTCTGTTATCTTTTTATGGGTTGTCCTATCAAAGGTCTTTACTTTTTGGCAGCTTTAATAATAGATATTATATTTACACTTACAGGGGCCTTAAAAAAAAATTGATGGGTTGGTTGTCATGTATAGGTTGATAGCTACTTGGACACAAGGCCTATGCTTTTGCAAAGGCCACGAACCCCAATTCAGAATCGGGTTTACCCATTTCGAGGAAGTGGGTTTGAATTTGGTGGCGGTGGTGGTCGTAGAGGGAGAGAATCTGGAGGGACTGGTGTTTTTCACCCTCGTATTGTCCATAACTCCACAAATGACTCTCCTTTTAATGCTGATTATAAAAGGAAGCAAGGTGAGTTGGCTTGCTTTTGTTGGTAATCTTATTTTTCTTGACTAAAATTCCATCTTTTTTATATATATTATAATAAATGTCATTATCAATAAGACTTGAAATCAAATCTCAAGAAAATTGCTAATATGTCTGGTATTTTTCTTGACTAAAATTCCATCTTTTTTATATATATTATAATAAATGTCATTATCAATAAGACTTGAAATCAAATCTCAAGAAAATTGCTAATATGTCTGGTATTTTTCTTGACTAAAATTCCATCTTTTTTATATATATTATAATAAATGTCATTATCAATAAGACTTGAAATCAAATCTCAAGAAAATTGCTAATATGTCTGGTATTTTTCTTGACTAAAATTCCATCTTTTTTATATATATTATAATAAATGTCATTATCAATAAGACTTGAAATCAAATCTCAAGAAAATTGCTAATATGTCTGGTATTTTTCTTGACTAAAATTCCATCTTTTTTATATATATTATAATAAATGTCATTATCAATAAGACTTGAAATCAAATCTCAAGAAAATTGCTAATATGTCTGGTATTTTTCTTGACTAAAATTCCATCTTTTTTATATATATTATAATAAATGTCATTATCAATAAGACTTGAAATCAAATCTCAAGAAAATTGCTAATATGTCTGGTATTTTTCTTGACTAAAATTCCATCTTTTTTATATATATTATAATAAATGTCATTATCAATAAGACTTGAAATCAAATCTCAAGAAAATTGCTAATATGTCTGGTATTTTTCTTGACTAAAATTCCATCTTTTTTTATATATATTATAATGTAAAATTTCACTTCCTAATGGATTAAGAGTTGATGTTTTTATTCACCTGTGTGAGGTGAGGTTTTGGGGCGGCTTAGTATTGTGATTGACATTGTTTTTGGGGAAAAAAGAAAATCTTTTTAGATGCTTTTGAGAGAAAATAGTTTTGAGTGTCTTGGTGTTGCTATTTTGAAGTTTATATTATTAATATTTGTAAAAATTATCTTAAAAATAAATTTAATGATGTTTCCTAAATCATTTTTAGCAATCTTTTTTCCCTAGTAACAGCTCAAACGGTATTTGCTACATTCAAATTCCCTCCCATAATATCCCCCATTCCCCCCCACCCAAAAAAAAAAAAAATTCCCCCCCACCCAAAAAAAAAAAAAAACAGCAATGCCTAACACACCCTCATTTAAAAGAACAAAAAAAAAAAAAAAAAAAAAAAAAAAGGAAGCCATGAGCTTTTTCTTTTTCTTTTAACTGTTTTGTAGATAAAAAAAAAAAAAAAAAAAAAAAAGGAGCCATGAGCTTTTCTTTTTCTTTTAACTGTTTTGTAGATAGAGACCATTGAGCTGTTTGGTGATTAAAATGTTGAACATAACAAATGTATAATATGTATGTCTTGTATGGACCCAGATGATAATGCTATGTTCTCTTATTATTTTATGAAGCTCTGTACTGGCATACTGCAAATACAAAAGAGGAAAAAAAAAATCTGTAAAAGCTATATTTGCTTTTCTGGTAATTGTCAGGACTCAGTTGCATAATAAGAATGCTCTCTTTAATTGCTGAGAGTTTCCAGATACGATTATGATGGTCATGCGTACATACATACATACAAATATCTAAGAAATTAATATAAAAGAAAGTGGAAGAACAAAAGAATATTTGCATTAATGATTTTAAACCCTCTGATAGTTCTCTAATCTGATGTTTCACTTATAGTATATTCTCTTAAATTCTTGACAGGTGTGAGAAATAAACAGGAAATTCAAGTCAATAGTCAACAGAGAAACTCCATGAGAAGGGTTAGCAAGGAAGAGGATTGTTATTATCATCTTCCTCCAGAGATGGGTTTGCCTCAAGACTGGACTTATTGAGCTTATCTTCTCCAATTTCAGTGTAGAAGAAGAAAATGATTAGAATAAGACCTTTGAGGAGAAGAATAGAAGAAAGTTAAATAATTTGTAGGATTTTGTGTGCAGTGCAGTGAAGGTAAAGAGAAATAGGTAGAGATTAGCAGAGAAAAAGGTATGTTTAGTATGTGTTTTATGCTTGAAAGCTTTGTAGAAATAAATAATGTCTAAGCTTTTGGTTTGGAGTGAATTATTATTAAATGGCCAATACTAAGCATTGATGGAAGAATAATCATTGAACATAGCTCAAAGCTGGGAAGTGAATTGTTGCCTTTAGAACTGTAAAATAACATACTTGAACTCTCCTTGAAGTTTAAATAAAAATATATGTTTCCTTTCTAATTCTTTTTGAGTGAATTTAATGATAATAACCAATAAACATTGATTGAAAAAATCGAAACTTACCTAGTAAGTCGGAAATTATTGATAACTGCATGAATTAATTAGCCAAAAAGACTCGATTGAATTTTATTTCCCCAAAAATCAAATCTTACCAAGTACTAATTCTTAATGTATGGCTAGTCAAAATACTATTTTTTTTTTTGCTTTTGCTGTTGTACAAAAGATATGATTTCTGTGTTTATAAAGAAAGTCTAGTCGGTTTACATGTGTTAATGAAACCTACAACTATAGATTACCTAACCAATTAAATTTATTATCTATCTAATTTTTATATTTTCGTACTCTTCTCTTCCTTTTCTATTCTTTTCATTTATGAGTTTTACTCGTATCAAGTTTTTTTTAATCAATATATCAATTATTGTAATCATTATTATCTATGATCTATATTATATGTAAAAGTACGAATGAAGGAGAGATTGAGTTTTTAAAATGCCCTTGCTAAATTTATGAATTTACAAAGATATCATTACTAATCATCTTCTAATTATGATATCAATTTATTATTTTTGTTATATTAATGTTATAAATTTATTTTCATTTTAGTTAGAAATTTGTCCTCTCATACCACTATATATATGTTTAATTTTTATTGCTTTGGACCTTTTGACTATCAAAAATTGTTACATCGAGTTTTTACTAGTTTAAAATTATTGAGTTTGCAATCATGTCTTCTTGCGGTGAGTATTAACCTTAACTCTCTCTATTTACAAATTGATATAATAGTTTTTATTTATAGTTCTTATAATTTAGATTTATAGATTTATAAATTAACTGTAATTATTTAATAATCGTGAATAATTACAAGTTTAAAAACTTTTCCTTCTGAATAGTATTATCATAAAATATTTTAAAGGGACGAACCCTCCAATTAGAAAATTTTTAATTTTATTTATCGATTAAAATTATATAATAATTTTTAAGTAGATTGATTATATTAGTTTTCTTGATCATATTATTTTTATTAATTAACAAATCTTATTTCATTATTTCCATTGCTAAGAGCTGACGAAGGTTCTACAGACGTGTTAGCAACGGAATTCTTTTTCATTTTTAAAGTTACAACCTAAATTTATTTTTTCGTCCCTTGCTGAGTTGGTTCTATAAACCGTTTAGCAACGGAATTTTTATCCGTTGCTAAAATTATAACCATAGCTCAAAACCTATTTTCACTTCCCTTTCTCATTTCTTCCTCCTTTTATTTTATATTTTATTAATAAAAATTTAAATTTTTTTAGATTGTAAAATTAATATTTAGTAAGATAATATCTTTTATTTTTTATTTTTTTAGCTTCAAATATCTCGATAAAAATAAGATAGTTGAGAGAATTACAATATTTAAATTATAATATAATAATCATAATTTTTTTGCATGTATAAGAATTTCAAATTATATATATATAAATTGTGAATGAGGGAAAAAGTTGAATTCCTAAAATGCCTCTGCAGACTTTTAATTTAATTAGTTGATTGAAGAATAATTTAGTGTTATTCTAGTTAGGAGACTTTTGAAATTTCTGTACATATAAAAATACTATGATTTAATATCTTATAATTTAAATATATTATACTATAAAATATTAAATTTATTAATCCCTTATTAGTATGAAAATTTCTGTACATATAAGAAATACTAATGATTTAAAATCTTATAATTTAAATATATTATACTATACAATATAAAAATTTATTAAATCCCTTATTTAGTAGCTCTTTTTGTTAATTTTAATTGGTATTTTATTAAGTTTTATTAGTAACTTCTAATTTTTATTAATTTTCTTGATATTTTAATAGTTTAATTAGTTAAAAATATCATTAAAAATGAATTTACTCGCTATTCTAATTAGAAAAACTTTGGAATCCCTATACATATAAAAATACTATAATTTAATATCTTATAATTTAAATAAATTATAATATAATATATTAAATTTATTAATCCCTTATTGGTAGCTCTTTTTTATGAGTATTATAAATTTAATCTCATTCTAATTAAGAATTTGACTTTAATCCTATTATGATGTCAATTTATTATTTTTATTATATTAATATTATAAATTTAATCTCACTCTAATTAGGAATTTGTTCTTTAATACTATTATAATTAGGATTTTATCTTATCATACCACTATATATAAGTGTGATTTTAATTACTTTTGAGTTTCGACTATCAAGAATTTGTTATTCTTGACTATCACGAATTTGTTGCTTTTTGACTATCAAGAATTATTAAATTAAGATTTGCTAATTTAGAATTGTTTAGTTTCCAATCACGTCTTCTTCTTGCAGTAAGTATAATTTTAACTTTTTCTATTTACAAATTAATAGAATAATTTTTATTTACATTTATTAAGTATATTCTACAACTATAGGAAGTTTAATCTAATTCGAAATAGGAAATTATTAAAGATTTTAATTTTATTGGTTGAAAAATAAAGCTAATTCAATTATTAAAGATTTTAATTTCCTATTTAAATATAAATTCTATTTTATTGAATAAATAATAAATCTAGCATTATTATTACTATAAGATAGTATATGCGTAAAAATAAATAAAACTTTAAGGATTTTAAATTTTATTATTGAAAATAAAGCTAATTAATTATTTGAAAATATAATGAATTTTAACTAAAAACCAATCTGATTATGAGTTGTTAAATCAATATAAAATTATGTTAGATAGATAGTGAAGGGTGAAAGGAAAGAGAAGAAAGAGAGAAAAGAAATATCAATGATATATGAATTCTAATAATGTACAGGTCTATGAGTCATCAACATAAAAATCTATAAAAATTATGGTAATAGAAGCAAGTCAATACCAATTGATTTAATGTAATAAAGCAGCAATACCAATTGATTTATAATTAAACTAATCTGTTCATAAAAAAAAAAAAAATCAAGAGCCTCGAGTTAATAAAGACTAAGCAGATTGACGCAAAGACAAGCTTGGCTCCATTGTAAAATTAAGACCTAAGCATTAATGAAGAAGCGATGAGAACGACGGAACCTATAATATTTTATTGATTTATTGAAAAAAAATCATAATAATTTATTGCTTTTGGCGGGGTAGAGCGAAAGGTACCAGAAGACTAATTTAGTTAGAGATCATACCCAGACTATCTCTACAAATGAAATAAATATTGAAAGAGTCAATATTCGCGCGCGAAGTTTATTTAAATATAAATTCTATTGGATAAAAAAATATAAATTCTATTGGATAAAATACGATAAAAATTATATTATATCATTATAGTATAGATATAATATATTATATATAATATAATATATATATATATATATATAATTATATATATATAATATTACTATACTATATATATATATATATATAATATGAGTAAGAATAATAAAAATTAAGGAATGGTTTACTTTTTGGGAATAAATAAAAGTTCATTCAGTTAGAAAAAAAAGAGGGGTAAAGCAAAATAAACTCAAAATTGACTTTTGGTGGAACATAGGTTTGTACTTAAGTTAAATTGGATGTTCGTATTATCTTGACAATTAATACAATGCAAAATGTAGGTAATATAACATAATATTAATTAAATATCATAATTAATAAACTAATCAAAATATATTAGGATTCCCCCCTAATAATAATAATTAATTAATTTTAAACTATATATTATATGTGATTATATATATATATATATATATATGTTTTTATTAAATATTGAAATGCAAATATAATATTAAATTGTAAACCGAAAAATGTTCTATGCAATCTTTAATCAAGAATGAAATCCATATTGTAAAAAAGTTTTTGATTGTGAATCCCAATATTAAATCAATTATAGTTTATAAATTTCTATTACAAAACGTGAGTAAGCTATTTTTATATTAAAAAATTAAAAATAATTAAATTTATAAATTAATAAATTGGAAATTCTTTTTTTTTTTCTTCTCATATTTTCTTTATAAATTATAAATTGAAATTCTTTTTTTTTTCTCTCATATTTTCTTTTGTTTGTTTTGGTTATACTGTTAGCTACTAGCTTTATCATTCTCTTGAAAATACTAATTATTTTATCTTTAATCTGTTAAGTAAATTTCTTGATCAATTTTTAATTAGTATAAATTTGTTAATTTTTAAAAAAATTTATTTAAATCATGATTATAATTTTTTTAACATTTAACGCTCTTTTTTTTAATGTTGTTGCATATTTTTAGTTTAAAAATTTGTTATACTTTAATTTTAATATGACATTATTAGTATGATAATAAATTATAAATATTTAAATTATAACTCAATTGAAAATTTAATCTATCAAATAATTATATTTTCTTTTACTACTATCAAAGATTTTTTGCTTTTATTATCAATAATTCATTCAAGACTCTCTACTATCATTCTATCAAGAGTATCTTTGCTATTTTATATTGAAAACTTCTCACTTTATTATTATTAATAGTTGAGGCATTAATTTTAACTTTTGATTTTTTTATTAATTTTATTTTTTTATCACAAAAAAATTTTGAATTTGATTACCAATAATTTATATATGTATTTATTTCTATATATGGTAAGATCTTGGATCAAATAGTTATTTATTTTTAACTTTGTAACTATTTCATTTTGTCAAAAAATCTATTGGAAAAAATTATTAAAATTTTTCATCAAATACTAAATATATATGATAGTGGTTTACACCTATTTTTATACATGTAATAATTATAAATAATTATAATAAAAATTTATAAATTTTTATACTGTTCTTTATAAAAAATAAATTATAAATGAATCATTCTAAATGAACAGTATGTTTCAATAAAATAACAAGTGCATCGCATATGTTCTAAACACTAGTTTTATATATAATATATATAATATATATAAAGAATCATGAGTTATTCTTATGCCTGCTTATGTGACATCTTCCACTTAAAGAGAAGTTTATTGAATTGAAGTATTTGATTTTTAGTTAAG